CCCCCCCCCTCTCCCTTTCTCACATTTTATTGTTCTTTAACATATCGATTATCTCGTACATGCTGTTAGAATTTGACGCTTGTTTTTGATACATAACACATGTACACACACATATCAATAAGGTTTGGCATTATAATTCAGTATAGTTGCATTTAGGAGCTCGGAATCTTGAAAAAAAGGAAAGGGACAGAATATCGTCATGTATTTATATTTTTCGCGACTTGTGAAACGAGACAGTATGGAATTGGGAAGAACCTGGGACAAATTTACGACTAAAAAGCGCACTAACTCGCGATATTTACAATGAGTTGAGAGGGTTTGAAAAATTAGTTTGTAATGCCTTCGATGTATACAAAGGTATTGATGCAATTTGTTATATTAGTGGTGAGTGTCCGTTTTGTACACTCGTACACGATATGTATGTTGGACACATACCTACGGGGGCATGCCCGATGAAAATCGAATGTAATTTTCGTGACTAAACAATTAATAATTACAGTTTAACATTATGGCAAAGATTTTACACTCTCGACACATTCATTATATTCATGATAATGAATGTTGTACTCTCATAATTTGGCGCATAACATATTTTATAAATTATTTGAAATATCATTTTTGTTTTGTCACATATCCACAGAGTCGACTCTCTTTCTCTCTCTCTCTCTCTCTCTCTCTCTCTCTCTCTCTCTCTCTCTCTTCGGATTTATTGTAAAATTTGTAAATATTTATATTTTAAGATTCTCGTTTTTTAGATTGACTTGGAAATTACTATTGTCGATGGAGAAAATATTTCAATAATCTTAAACCGGTACCCATCATTATCATATTCTTTGTTGTATGACAAAATAAATTAACGAAACTCCGTGGATAATGTGTCAAAGATAATTTTTCTCTGTCACTTCTTCATGCAACTACCTTTAGCAGTGCAAGTAGTATTAGAAGAGCAAGTAATAATCACTGTTGAGTACAGATGATAAGCGGCAAGCGCTATAATGCCACGAAACGGACGAATCACTGTGCTGCTAAGTGATTTAGAATTTAGCGTGAATAATCGTTGGTTATGTCTTTTGCGACATTCCCTACGCTTAATTATACTCTCCTTATAGGTTAAACAAAATCGGGAAGAATCCTAATCTAGTGGCTCATCGTGAGGAGGATCTCGGCAGCGAATCAAAAACGATAAACGCCGTGGTAAATGCACTCGCAGAGCAAGCCGCGCATGCCAGCGCCAGCGAGGAATCGGTAAGTACTCGATCGATTAAAACCGTCGTAATGACGGTTAAAAACCTAAGTAAAACAGAAAGTAACTTCAAAATTATGTCGAAATAATGAGAAGAAATGATCGAAAATTGAATTTTATATCGTTGTTTTCTCATCATTTTGACATCATCTCGATTTTCTGTTCTACCTGACAAATATCTGCTAAATTTTTCTAAAACAACTAATAATTGTGGAGTTGTATAAATTTTCTTTTATTTAAAAGTATACCATCTTACGAAGAAACCCACGGAAATGTCCCTCTCCGATTTTGATGAGCTCATTAGTACACGTTGAAATATAGACAAAAATAAGATATGTATTTCCCTTTTTCATACGTGCCCAAATTCACTTTTAGGTTTGAAAAAATCATTTTTCCTTCCTTTGGAACGAATATCGTCTAAATTATCAAAGATAAAGAAGAACCTTTTAGACAAGAATTGAATGGTTTCAAGATTACAATGACGTTATTGATAATGTGATGCATTTTGCATTGCGATTTTCGCGTAAGCTCCGAGCGGGATAGCTCGCCGGATTTCCAAGGTTCGAGAGAACGCTAAGAGAGACAAGCAGTAATTAACGAAATAGAGTTTATTTAGATCGCTTTGTACAACATATAAATATTCTCATGAGCGTTGTTTCTGCGGTCGCGGAAAACTTCTCGTGTAAAGGCGGCGCGGAGAAAGAACGGCGCAGAACTTAATACTAGAATATATGCCGGCGGTGTCTAGGGGCGTCCTGGGGGGCCGAGAATCCTTGACGGCGACTCCCGCTAGCCCGCGCGGTCCCACGGACAAGAATTCGAGAACACCCGACAGAGAGAACGCTCTCGTCTCGGAGAGGACAGGACGAGTGTGGTCGAGAAAACTCGAACGGGGCCAAGAACGCTTGGCCTCCGGGACGTCGTGGCTGTCTCTTACTTGGGTGGCAGCCGCGACGTGAGTGTCTTCTGGTTCGCCGCGGCCGGCTTATGTACCCAGTGGCTCACCGTAGTGCCGCGCGCGATTACGTTTGAAAGGGTGGTGCTAATATCGGCCCGAGATTTACAATATCGGGTTGTCCGTGCGGATTTTCAAGCAAAATTCAAATGGGACATTTTAAAAATAATTTTCATATATGCGCCATTCAAAAGCCTTCCGGATAATTCCTCTCTTATAAAAGTCCTAGGTTTTTTTTTCGGCGAAGAAGCTACTCAAGTAGTTTATGAGGCAAAAGAAGCAAAACTTATACCAAGGGAGCAAAGAATAAGTAGTAATCGGTCGGATGAATATGGCGGCTGAGATAAAACATCCCAAGCCAAACTCCAGCAATTTTTGCCGAGTCTGCAAAGAAGTATGAGCATTGTCGTATGATCGGAAAACGACATCCTTCCGATTGACTAATTCCGGACATTTCCTGTCGATTTCTGCCTTTAATTGAGGCCGAACAGTCCGAATTGATGGATGATGGTGTTAATTCATAATGCACGATTCCTTTCCAATTCCACCAAATGGAGAGCATGACTTACTTCGGATGAAGTTTCCAAGCTTCGAAGTAATTAGTTCACCTCGCTTGCTCCACGAACACTTTCGCTCAATGTTATCGTAAACGATCCATTTCTCGTCACCTGTTACAATTCGTTTTAAAAATGAGTCGTTTTGTTTGTACAGCATATCGCAGATGGAAATGCGATCCATGAGATTTTTTTTCAGTCAAATTGTGCGGCATTCAAACATTTTTACCACTCCAAATTTGTTAAAGTATTCCGAAGCAGTTGATTTTTAACCTCGTTGCGATTTTCCGAGTTGTTATTTACCGATCAGAAGCAACTAAAGACGTTATTTGGTCGACATCCGTGGTAACTGGCCGGCCAGAGCGAGAAGCATTTTCGATATCCATTTCTCTCTAACGAAATTTGGCAAGCCATTTCTGACACATGCATTCACGTCTTCTCCGTACACAGCATATATCTTGCTTCGAGTTTGCGTCGCGTTTTTGTCCTTACGGAAATAAAAAAGCACCGAAAAAAATACATCATTTCCTTCCATTCTGTATGTCGAAGAGAAATATCTTTATTTGATCACAACAACTATTATCATAAAATGTGCGTCGAAACGTCACTTATCAAAACATATGAGCATTAATCCAATCTCCTAAAATTTACATTTTAACGCCATCTACTGAAAAATCTATCGCATGGACTTTCCGGACAACCCAATATACGTGAACTCACCGATAACCGTGTTAATAATAATTATAATAGGAAGAGAAATATATAAGAAATATAATAATGATAAGTTTCCGCTTATTTTCCGATAGGGGAATATATGCGGCAATCGGTACTTTACTTGACTTTATACTGACAAATAGATATAATAACTTACAAGAGCTCTGCGTCCAATACAGCTGTGACGAAAAGGTTACCGACTTTGCAATTTTGCCAACTTTTTTCTAACTAAATTTTTCCGCCATCCCGATAGCTATCCCGATATTTATTAAGTTCAATAGACATCATTCTGTAAGATCTATTGTTTTAGGTGCACAGCATGGAACTCAGAACGCTGCCGGCTTGCCTCTTACCTAGACCAAAGTCTGAAAACAATTTTGCGAGCCAAGAACTTACGAGAGAGGGACGGAGGATCTTCCACAAAAGCGACACGTTCCATAAGGATTCGTATCAATGACGACACTCGTTTTACTAGCATACGCAGAGATATTAACGGCTCCATGTTGAAATAACGATGGGATTTGTTCCATCGATAGGACGAATTGGTAGTTTTGCGCCCGGTGCTTGGACGATCCTATCTAGCAGTGATCTATACATGGATATCGGTCATGCCAGTAGTCCTTTAGCAATCAATTTATAGCACTTTCTTATATTAACTTAACGGTTTCGTCTAGGACTGTGAAACTGCCAAAACGATCGAGTCCTTATAAGCTCCAACCATGATATACGAGAACACTGTTAAGATCCGCAAATAGATTCACTCGGGAAAAAATATAACGCATTATCCTTACATATATTATATATAATAATTAATCATGTATAATTTGTTGGCAGGATATATATATATATATATATATATATATATCATATATATTTTGCGAGAAAAAATTAAAGGGGAAACATTTCAGCACTTTTTATCTTTCAAATTTTGTTTGACTTTTATTAAAATGTAACGACGAGACGTTTTACCAACTACTTCTTTCTCCCGTCATCAATTTTTTTCTTTTACAATGTAAATAAAAAAAGAAGAAGTTTATATCTCGGTTGGAGAACATGGAGCTGTATTTTATGCCGTGTCTCTTCATTGAGAATAATAATCGCAGCGTCACATCAATATTAAGAAAAGACGGATGGACGCAGCGAAGAATGAAGATCTCAAAGACGACGAAGAGCAGGCCTAGAAATATATAAAGAATATGTAGTCCACATTGCGTGGAGAAAACAAAAATAGGTATAATCCTAAATAACAGTGTAACGATGCGTAATTCTCTGTGATTTTGCAAGTTGACGTTTCGCACTTTAGGAAAGAAAAAAGTGATCTACATGAAGAATTAGGATCCTCTTTTTTTTTTTTTTTAAAGCAACAACTAATATAGAGAAATTGTATGTTGTAAGACCAGAGTATCAGAGATTAAGTTAACGTGATTTATCCTTAGCTTCGTACTGCGTTAGAGTCGCGTATATAATAAATAAAACGAATACTAATACATAATAATTCGTGCTGAAAAGAAAAGATAAAAAAAAATGAAAAAATGAAGAAGGAGAGATTCATAAAAAAAATGGGTCACTTTCTTCTTAGAGAATGCTTCTTCTTCTGGTTTTTACAGACGCGAAGTAAACTTGAGTTCGGGACTCGCTTATTTATTAAATCAATCTTTATTTTGCTACATCTTGATTCGCTTCGAGAACATAATGCCTATATTAAGACCGAGTAACGATTACACGTTGTGACTCGGTGTCAGATATATTCGACAGACCGTCCTGGTACATAAATAGGATCGGTAAGAAAGATTATGGTCGTGCGTTTGAGAGTCTGTGAACGAATTTAGAGAGAGAAAGAGAAAGAGAGGAGTAGAGACGTGAATTAGGATAATACGGATTAGCTGGTTCTACAAATGCTACGGAAGGCCCGAAGGCTATGTTTTCTTGTTGAGAGTTCTTCGGGTCATTACGGTTATATATATGTCAATGAATGAATATTAAGTGAAATGCAAGCAAAGTATCTTTTTATGAGATGAAAACAAAAACGCGTTGTACTATAAGAGAAGATGAATACTATGTAATAAATTATTATTATTGTTACGATTATTACTTGCAATGATTACTACACCACTACCGCATAACTAGACAACTAAATATATAACAAGAACACACATAATACACACACACACACACATACAAACATACACACATTATATAAATATATATTGTGCATAATAATTGTATAAAAATATCGTGTTGCTAAGTAATCATGTAATGTCCAACTACATGCGAAATTATTTGACACCGACTAAGTAAGCCGATATTTACGAGCAATTTATATATACAGATATTATTGTTTTACCAAACTGAAACTCGAATTATATTCCGTTTAAAAAACGTTTTATAAGCGCCTATATTCTCGAGATACACCGATCAATAAATATCGCTTTATAAATTTGCTACTAATCGAAATCGAAAAAAATATTCTCTTAAGTATCTCTCAATTGGATTCCGGGTGAAGAAATTTCCGAAGGATATTTATACACTGTAACACCATATCTGGTTTATTTCTAATAATTAATTTAAACAATTAATTAAAACATCCTCTTTAGATTTCAAATAAAGAGATAAATTTACACAATCGAGTTTCTGCTTAAAAAAAAGTTTAATAAAACATATGATTTTATCTAAGTATAGTTCAAAAAATGCTTTCCTTTGTAGACTTTTCTCCTAAATCAGCACGTGTAAATTAAATTTTATAAATACAGCCTTTTTTGCGTTGCCTTAGAATTAATGAAGGAATGTTTCTCTGTTAATAGTACACAGTGCATACAATCGAACGCAACAAATGTCAATCACTTTTATCTTTGGATTCGAGATTGATAATGCCTTCTTTTACGTAAGAAATTACGTAAACCGATTATTACGTTAACCATCTTTATACTTTTTTTTCGCGCAAAGAGACTTCATTAGTGAAAGAAGTATATATAAGCTGATGGATGATACGATTCCGCGAACACATGTACATACATCTTTACATAAGAGTTTAAAAGCTTACACTTTTCATACATATATATATATACACTTAAAAATGAACACACTTGTGTGCGCGCATAAGAAAAGGTGGGAGAAAGAAAAATAGAGTGTGTATGTGTCTGTACGTGTGTATGCGTAGTATGAGGGGGAGCAGAGAAAGGAAGAATCGAGGAGAGAGAGGGGGAAGGAGAGATGTCAATCTATTTTTTATGTAAGAGAAATAGTTTTCTGCTATTATTTTACATATTTCCACATATGTTATTCTAAACATGTAACATATAAATATTATAATAGCTATACATCGGAGAGGAGAGACATGCGTACGAAAGGTCGAAACACTCCAATAGTTGTCGTAGACCGCATATGATCGATGTTTTTATAGAATAATCTATATAAACGGTCTAGAAAGAAGATTACAATCTGCCGTTTCGGCCTAAGAAATACGTACTACCTTATACACGCACTCACATATGCACACGTACCTGTGTGTGGATTGGTATGTTTGTGTGTGCACGCATGTGTGTGCACGCATGTGTGCGTGCGTGCGTGCGTGCGTGCGTGCGTGCGTGCGTGCGTGCGCGCGCGCGCGCGCGCGTGTGTGTGTGTGTGAAAGAGAAAAAACAAGCTCTTACTACGGCTGCTAATTGCCAGATAGTATTTAGCCACTGTCTATTTATATGAATGGAACGATGAGAAAAACAAGGAAATATTGGATTAGTACTTTATTTGCATTACATACGCAAAACATTACGTGTACATAATACCGTACGTGAAACACACATGTATAATATAGATTACGAAAGATGAGAGAAGTAATACTTAGTATTAAACAGAGATCATGTGACTATTTGAGACATATGAATTTTAATCTTTTAATTGCTATCAGACAAGAGTGAGAAATTATTAAATTAAAAATTGAAAAAAAAAGAGACAAATAGTTTTTATATTGAGAGACAAGTTTTCGTGAATCGAATCAAATCGGAAGAAATGGATTTAAAAATTGGAAATGAGCGCGATACGACTACAGCGGTGTGAGTTGTAAAAGAAGAATCAAAGAGAAAAAATGAAAACGGCGAGCTTATATTTGCTCCGAGAAATAATAAAGAAACGAACACTAAATCGTAAAAACATGGCAATACACAAATGTTACTCGAGGCTGGTCAAAGCGTGTCAATTTGGCTATAATCTATATAGAGCACACGGAATGGAATAAATATCAAAAGATCGTGAACGTATGTTTTAAATCTCACATATCAATCGTTCAGTTAAAAGACGTTGCGAAGGTATACGCGAATTATTTTTGAAATGCTCTCAATAGAAACGTTTTCGACTGGCAGCGATGTACTTTCTTTTCTTTTTTTCTTATTTCGTTTAAGGATGATCGATCATGCAATTGACACTCATAAGAGCTTGACGCTTCTACAAAATATTCTTGGCACATCCCGAATACATCTTTAGGACGCATTACACTCGTTCATTAAATCATAAAATCGCTATAACGGGAATACATGTACGATGAAAGACTGTCTTACCGACTGATTATCTTTTCTTTGAAAAAGACCTGTAAAATTTTCCGAGGATCGAAAGTTATAAGAAGACGATTTATAAAGTGATATCTCAGTAAGCATGAAATCAGTACAGAATACAACGTTATTGCAATGATATTTTACAACATATAAAGTTTTATATATGTACATTTTTTAAATATGTAGTTTATATAACGTTGTTTATACAACGTCATTGTTAACAATATTTGACCCAAACATTAAAAATAATCTTTCTACACTATGATTTTAATATTTAGGAATATTATATTATCAAATAATGGTTTAAAAACATCTATAAAATATTAAGTCAAAATAAATTCACATAAAATTAATTAATTCCAAAAGATTAATTTAATGTTTCTTGCTTACTGGGATATGGCCTTAAATTAAGTAGAACATTATTTAAAATTTGGAACGATCCGCACGCGCGTGCGCGCTGTCAAGTGTTCTTAATAGCTTTCGCATGGTGACACGGTACTCGGACAGATTATAAATTTCAGTAAAACATACGTATATCGTACCTGCAATATTTGATTGATACACGTTATCGTATATATGCTTATTACTGGATAAAGAACTACCCACTAAATATTGTTACATAAGAGCACTGTTTTATCAAATAGGAATATATTATCTAACATTCACTTATCATGTCTGTTTTTCTATTGTTCGGGGATCAAATGTGATTAATACAACGAATAGTGCGGACGTTAAAAGACGTACAGTATAATCCTTGTATAATATTTCATAGAAACATATTATCACACATAAATTTCCTTTCTTAATAGTATTCGAATATAATGGTGCTATCGTATGTCATAATGTTTTATAGAGAGGCTACAAAAATGACAACGAGCGAGATTTCATGAGCCCAAATAACATTAATTCTTCATTAAACTGTACGTTCTGTAATTCTTATTAAAAGGCTGTCTCATTTCTCTCTCTCTCTCTCTCTCTCTCTCTCTCTCTCTCTCTCTCTNTAAAAAAAATACACGTTTTGAAAGGTTTTCGAATCCAATTTTAGAAGAACGATATATAGCTCAAAATGAAGTTTCTATAATAGACTGACCAAAATTGCTTCATTTTTTGCAGTATGTGCTTGACTTTCACAAGGTTAAGTGTGTCTCTTGTAAATAAAGGCTTTTTAAGTTATATTAAAAAATTCGTATTTTCTATGTAAAAATTATAAAAAATTTCCAGCGGAACATAATGAAAAAAGAAGCTATAAGTTCAGACAAAGTATTATGTAAAATATTTGCAATAT